ATCGGTGACCGTTCGTCGGTGACTGGCGGTCGGTGGTTGCCGACCGGAGACTGGTGATCGGTGATTGGTGGCCGGTGCTACTAGTAATCGGTGATTAAGTGACCGGTGATCAGTGGATTTGGTCGTTCTCGACAAGTGGGCGCCTCGCCAAACACTGAAGTGCACTCATGGAATGAGTCATCACGCAAGAACTTCCTTCCGGAGTGCACTTTTAATGCCTTTTCAGCCTTACAAGAATAGAAGCGGTGTATTCGAATGCAAAAATTATTTCGGCATGGGCGAAGTTGAGTAAGGTTTTATCTCATTGTGACACTTTATGTGTATGCCATTCAGTGATCTTATAATGTGAAAACAAACTGTTAGTGAGTTTTGAAGATTTTTTTCCTAATTGCCATCCTGTTCTCTATGATTTCAAGAAATCGTAAAATGTTCAGAGAGCTATTTTCTCTCTCTCTCATTTTTTGTGCTCTTTTTGTGGTCGTTAGTCGCCGACCTTAAATGGGAATCATTGCCCAAGTGCTTCTTCGTAAAACATCCTATTAGGGATCATTCATTTAGAAATAAGAGTACTGAAAACAGAGAACCCAGTGGTTAATGCAGCTCTTTATGATCTGTTACAGTAGAAGTTGTGGAGCGATGTCCCAAGTGCTATTGAGAATGTAAATAATGCTAAAACAACGCGATGCGGTTTGTTTCTACGAGAGCTGTTTGTGTTTCTCGAAATTCCATGCTTGCAACAGTTTGAGATTAGTAGAACGAAAATATTATTCACAAAAAATATAAAACTTGAATGACTTCATTTTTCAACCATCATTGTTCTAGTATCTACTGAAAGTATGAACGCATTTTCTACCTTTCTTTTTTTCTTTCTTTTCTGATATTTATTACAATTTCGCCCATGCCTTACCGCCCATTTTTAACATGATTGTTTTAAACTTCGATGTTGTCATGAACTGAACATTTTGATGTATATATTATGTACCATACTATTCGTTAAGAACTACGAAATCGGCCAGATTTCTAAAAGTACCGTGCGTTGCGAGTATCTCTTATTTTTTCGACACCATAACACATTTTGGTTTATTCTTCCCATACCTGTCCCTAAAGATTTGAATTTTTAAGATGTGTACTGTAGTTACTGCAGCTGCACGAAGTTACGGGCATCATCCACAGTAGCAATAATTATTGCCTCAAAACATATTTATGTCCACTCCATTTATTTCCAATATTTTTATAGGAGCAAATCTTTAGATTAAACAGGTCTTGGGGCCTAAGATTGGTGGAAGAAATCACTTCATATATTGTACCCATTCTTAATAGCGAGAAGTTATTATTCGGAAAAGAAATATATGAAGACATATTTATAATTGCATTTATTTTACCGAGCAAACTGTTTGTCAATCAATCATAAATAGTTTATTGGTTTTAATATCTATTTTACGATGGTTTTCATTGCATTTATTAAGATAATTTAAATAATTGTATGAATGTACCATTTCTTTAATAATGTTTATGAATGGTGAAGAAATGAGATGTTTCAGACAATTTTACCGTGAAAAATAATTTAAATTTTTCGTGAGCAAAATTTCAAACTCACTATAATATACTTAGCTCTGAGGTGTTTGAAAATATTCCAGGTATTATCGCATACTAGAAGAATCATATATGACCTAGTTTCAGAAATGATAGCAATGTCGAACGATCGATACTTTTGTCTACCCTCCCTTCATTTTTTAATGAAATTTGAGAACGTTGTGGGAGAATAATTATGTATTTCTCATATTACTATATAAAATTGAATCGCCGATCATTGGAAATGATCAAATTAGAATGTTTTTCATGTTAAAAATAATTATAGTGGGTTTACTGTCCACTAATTACATAATTCAGTATTATCATAGACTTCTAACTAGCGAAATAAAAATCCATTTTAGTGTAGTTTTAAAAATTATTTTCAAATTATTTCTAAAATCGCAAGACACTTTTTGTGGCGAATATTCTTTCGAAACGTTACATTTCTTCGACCCGAAAGTTAAATTATATGACTGAAACATGGATGAATGATTTTCATGACTGGTGTCTGTGCTGGTTTTCGCTGTTCAACCACCCTTGGGTGTTTGAATGCCGATAGCGGAGTGGCTGTTACAGCGACCTTGCGGTGACGCATTTAGAATTCTGGTGGTCACACCGAAAAGGGAAGCTTCTACATAATCCATAGAGTTAAACTTTGCACTATACCACGAAAAAGCAATCCTGTTGCAAGAGTACATATCCAATCGTTTGTCTTTACAAACTAGAATTGTATGAAGATGTGTATGCGATTATTAAATTATTGGGCAACATTTACTGGTAGCAGAAGTATTGCAAACATACCTCTGCATATTATTTTTTTAACTATCCATAAAGAAACAAAATACCAGCTGTCTTCATCATAATATTATAATTATTTGCATTTAAATCATTGTAAATACTGTAATAAGTGTAAATATTTTTGGTAAACCTCAAAATAATGTCGTTCTTGGCACCGTTCTGTTTATATAACAGCCGTGAGTATGATCGACACATCTCTGTGTGAGCTTTTTCGTTCCCCCATTTAAAGAAAACTGTACGAAGCTGTCCCCATTCATTTACATTCTCTAAATGTTTCTGCCCGTCCTGAAGCCCAGAGGTCGCTGTAGCCGCCGCTCACGACAACCCAAGCAGTGCGGCAACGCCATTGTCACGTCATCTCCCGAGACGGGGTGTGTACATTTGCCGCGAGCGCTATTTATTTTGTAACGTCACGTTTTGTACAATAAACTCCCACGCACTGCCGGTGCGTGCTCGCCTCCACCAGTCGTTGTTCTGCAAGACGATTCATCTCCGTTCCCCGTTCCCACGCATCCAGGACCTTTTCGCTCTTGGGAAGAGAAAACTTGGCACGTCGCATGTTGATGTTGGGAGAACAGGAGCTGTGCGATAATATTATGCAAGAGAAGAATAACATCTCTTCATTTCCTAATAATATTCTGATGGAAAGAACAATGGTTTTTTTAGAGAAGAGGATGACTTGAAGCATTTCTGTTCATTTGAAATGCAAGTGAGAGCAGAGAGTGCTTGACGTGGAAGACACTTCTTTCCTCAAATGTATTTGCTTTTGCCGTTGAGAGAAAGTGATGACTGTCATAATAACTGGACCCCCTGGAGATGTACTGGTTTGTTGACAGTCTTTGCCTCGGGTGCTAAGTAAGCTATTAAAACAGAAAAGTCATTTTTGTCTACAGTATTACTTCAAGTATTTGATTAATTTCCGGACTAGTGCGGCACGGACGCGGGACAGGCCTATGCCACGCCTCCCCCGCCCGCCGCGCCCGGCCGAAGCCGAGCGCTTGCGTCACGCTCCGCGGAGAGCGCTTCGGCCGCGCTCCCCGGTCCTGTGTCTTCCGCACTCAACGCTCCTGTTGACCGTGCGGGCGTCGCCTGAAGACGCGTGGGGAGATGCACCTCCACCCTTGGCCCCTCCGGCGGCACAGCTGCCCGTAAGGAGGGGTTCCCTCTTGAGCGCACTATTTCTTTTTTTTGCTTGGGCCTTGACGGAGTGGAGGGGCAAGTTATGTAATGCATAACGCAAAAAAACTCGGATTGTTCGGCAGAAGAAAACGTTTATTAACGAGGGCCTGGTAATTAAAAATTGGATACAATCCAGTTTTAAATTTGGGTTAAAAAATCTCTAACACGTGGTGTAGCCAGAATCCAAGTTTCCTAGGTTCTTGGTACAGAGAAAGATGATTACGACCAAAATGCTGTCTGTGAACAGACCCCCGCCTCACGGGCCAAAACGATCTCGCGATTTTTCTCCAAATGATATCACCTGCATATCGCTCCTGGCTGATGTTAATGGTCCTTGGGTTTTAAAACGCCCTATTTATTTTTTGGGAGGGGGATCTTTCTTATGGCGACGTGAGACATTTTCCCAGTTGAGACGGGCAGTGCATGTGAAATAATCGAATATAAACAGAATAAAATTATGTTAAGGTGCATTTGAACAGTCTCTTAAGTACTTACGTTATATTTTCACAGGACCCTTCCCGGCGTCTGGAGGAAGATTTCCGGTCTCCGTGGCTGATGAGTGGAAGACTGCACGTCGTCGGTAAGTGTCTATACTTCTTCGCAAAAAAATGAGGGGAAGCAGGACGCTGAAAATCCTTATACATCCCATGTTCCTAGAGAAGAGGCGCTGCTGTGAGTTTTGCCGATTGCCTTTCTCTGGATCAGACGATGAGGAAGCGGATCTACCAAAAGGGAGCTGCTGGAGGACGAATGTGTATGGCGAAAGGTCGTTTAGTTCAGTTGTACACAGGGCTGGATGAGAACCAAACACCTCACAATCAGATAGCTTTTGCTGGGCGTATCTTGGAGGCGTACAGCAAGGCCCCCGCGTACAGAGGAGACAGGCTCACGCGTGCATATATTTATTTTTTAGAACATAAAAATTACAATGCACAATTAATCTTGTTTCGTTGGGTTATTTTGTGTTATAGGCGCTCAAGAATCCGCTCTTGGTAAATGCCAAAGCGGGGCTGCTGTCGGAACGGCGACCGCGAACCCCGCCCTGTCCTCACGCCTCCCAACCTTTCCCACGTCCGCGGTCGAACGGCCGCTTCGCGCCGCCGCCCACGCCGCCCGAACGGTCGGTCCCCACCGCCCGCCCGCACCCGCTTATCTCACGCGCGCCCGTCCTCCGCGCTCGTCCGTCCGGCGCCCGTCCTCCCGCGCCGTCCTCGCCGGCGCCCGTCCTCGCCGCCCGATAGAGACGTCTCCGCGCCACGTTCTCGCCGCGGCCCGTTGTCGCCGGCGCTCCTCGCAGACGTCGCGCCGGCGACTGCCCCCACCCAGAAAGCCTCCCGCCGCGGCCTTCCTCGTGCCGCGCCTGCCGCTCGTCCGCCTGCCCGCCCGCCCTGTCCTGCGGCCCTCTCTCCTCGCGCCCTTTCTCTCCCCCCCCCGCCCAATTCCCCCTCTCTTCGGCCCCCAACCCCTGGTTTTTTTTGTTTCCTGTCCCCGCCCGCGACCACCTGTCCCCGCATCAACTGAACCAGCCGCGGC